TCTGTATTTTAAATTAATTTTAAAAAATATATTTATAATTTATCCTTAAAATTACAAATTATATATATATGTGATGAGAGAGAAGATACGCAATGCAACCCACGCCGAAGCTCCGAGCCCGAAGAACCCCCGCGCCCCGTGCCTAATGTCGTTTTTTTCACAGTGCCATTCCACCTCCCTAGATTATAAAATCCTGGCATCCACTTTCATACTTTTAAAAAAAAAATATTATTATTATTTTATAATGATAATAAATTGAACTATCGAAAATTACAAAATATTAGAGATTGTTTGGAATGACCTAAATAAGTATATTTTTGTTTTTTTACGAAAAGATGTACAGAAAAATAGAGAGGTAATGTGATGAAAAAAAAATAAAAAGATGAATTATTTGGGACTTTCCAAACTTGACTTTAGAATCTTTTAAGAAATGTTAAAGAATTTTTAAATTTTATTTTAATGGTTTGACAAAAGAGTTTTTCGTTTATTTGATGTGTAGAACAATCAAATTTAATAAATTATAATTATAATAGAATAAAACTATACGTACTAATTTATATATTAATTAATGTGCTAATGATTATTTATATAATTTTAAAAATTTTAAATTTTTATGATTTATATATAATTGATATATCAATTAATACATATAATATCACCGATTATAATAATGGAGATCAAATAATACTAATTACTAGTAAGGTAAAAGAGTTCTGACCAATATGTTAAAATTTTAAATTTATCAATAGAAATGTAATAAACTTACATATTTTTTTAGATAACTAAAAAATGATTTTTTTTTTTTCAACTTATATCTCTTTAATTTTTTTCTCTATCTTTTCTATTTCTTTTTTTTTTTCTTATTCTTAACAATTCCAAAATTCAAACATAGTGAATGTTGTAATCAACTTTTCACGGCATTTATGTGTGGCTTGACTTGGAGTCGGTCTACTAAAAAGTCTAAGTTTATCTTGTGATTTGGAAATGGTTGCCCTCCAATTCAAAAAGTTAAAGTATTTTGATCCCATATAATTAACCCACAGTGAACCATGAAAATCATGAGGTGCTCAAGGCTTTGTTTGGTTGGCTCCAAAGTCAATTTATTGATTAAAAAAAATTACTTGCTAAAAATTCTAAACTCATTTCCCGCAAAAATTTCAGTTTAACCACTCTAAAAAATTATTAAAAGAAAAACTATAAAAAATTAAAAATATGTTAAACAAATTTAATTTTTTAACTAACTCCAAAAAAAAAAAAAAAAAAAAATCTAAAGATGTGTTTATGAACTGTTCAATCTTATAACTTTATGAGTTCTTTAAAGCTCAAAATTACTATAGTTGCAATCACTGCTTTGAATGAGTGAAAAAGTTTTTTAAAAAATCTATTTTTTAGCCAACTAAACATGTTCATTTTGAAATATTTTAGGAATAAAAATAAAAAACACAAAAATCTTAACTTTAAAGGGTTCTTTTGGATTTGAATTGGTTTTTTAATTTTTGACTATTAGTGTAGGGTTAAAAAATCTCTTTTTCAATGAGTTTTTTGTTTTTTTTTGACTTTTGTGAGAGAACAAATAAAATAATTATGATTTAAATGTGACATTTTGTCTTATTAATTTATTAATTTATTTGATTTGTTTATATCTATTTTAGCGCAAACCATTTATGCCAAACGAGCTCTAAGGGTTATTTTGAGAAGATTGTTAAAAACTATATTTCAACTTTTAATCCATTTTGAGTCATATTATCTTTAATATATTTTTTACATATTTTTTCAAAAAAAAAAAATGAAAAAACAACTTTGGCTCAATTTGACAACAAGCTAAAAAAGTCAACTTTTTAACTTTTTTAACCAAAAAAATCAGTCTTTTTTCTCAAAAGAAATCATTTTTTTACCAAAAAAATCACTAAAAAATTAATTTTTTACTAATTTCTCAAAATACTACCTTTAATCATATTCTCAAAAACAACCCCGATACCTAACATATATTTATCTTCAAGTGACCATTAGGAAAGTGTCATAAATTGGAGTTTAAGTCAAACATTATTGGGGACCATTATTAAAGACCCTATCAGCACGCAAAAGAATAAAAAAATTACAAATCAGTAATATATTTTTAAATATTTATAAATTTATGTAAAAATTTATAACTCCAATCATTAAAGTTGGTTAAGTTTATCACTAATTTGACTCTCTTTTTTTCGTAAAAGAATTGCCTACGTTTTTTTATTTTTTTATTTTTTTTTTTTTTGTGATTGTGTCATGGTAATCAACTGATGAAATGTTCTTCTTTTCAAATTTTTATACAAACTTTTTTTTTTTTTTAATATGATAAGGGTTAAGTCTAAGTTTTGTATAAATTTTTAAGATTTGCATAACATTATTCATTAATTAATTTGTGTAAAAAATAACAATAACGCTATTATGTAATTCAACTTTTGTTTTAATAAATATAGATTATACATTAATTGTTTATATGTACTTAAAATTATTAAAAAGAGGATAAATTACACCGGCCTCCTTTAAAATTTAAAAAAAAAAAATACAACTAGTCTAATAGTTTTAGTATAAGTGCACTAACCTCTTTTTAATAAAGCTAAATGAATCCGAACTAATGCAAATGGTGTGCAGATATAAAGATAAATAAAACAAAATATACATTTTAATATAAAAGAGATGACATTATTTTTATATCCATTTGAATAAAAATAAAATTAAGTACTATATAAATTAAAATTTAAAAAAATCAATAGAATTAAATTAAAATTATGATTGTATTTTAAAAAAAATTAAGAGAGATTTCCCATGCACTTAAATTAAAATTATGATTGTATTTTAAAAAAAAAGAAGAGAGATTCCTGCAATTTACTTTAAAAAATAAAAAATAAATAGAGGATAGTAGAAGTTGCCTCCGATGCACTCAAAAGAAAATTAGAGAGTCGTGATACAATCAAAAGAATAATGATATATATATTAATTAATGCATTAAGTAGTATATTAATAGATGATGTGATATAATTTTATAAATTTTAGGTATTTAAAATTTGTATAATAAGAGATGTTAAAAATAATGACATAACATTAATTAATACACTAGTACATATAGCCTCTGTTTGGAAAGAGGCTTTTTTGGCTAAAATAGTCACAAAAAATAAAATACTTTTTTTAGCCTAATAAAATAAAACATCACATCTAACCTATAATTATTACATTATTTTTCTCACAAAAAAGTCAAAAAAAAAAAAGTCAAAAACCTTCTCAAATTAAACTTTTTAACTCTAAACTAAAATAGTCAAAAAAATTAAAAAATCAAAAAATCAAACCCACTTCCCAAACAAAACCATATTAATTGATGTATATAAAATCACTGTAATCGAATATTAGAGATGATACAAATTTCACATAAATGTAAAATTTATATTATGTGAGTTTCACGCCAGGAAAAACATTCGTAATACAATTACTACATCAAATCATGTTTTCAGCATTGAAAGAGGGGGATGCGGGATTTTATTTATTTACTTAATAAATGTCACGGAAAGACGTAGATGCCCCGTAACCTCCGAAAGCGAGACGCTACGTTAGGTGTGTGTGAGAGAGAGGGAGAAAAAACAAAAGTAAAGAATCAAATCCTCCCCCTCCACCCCAACTTTGACTGGACCACCCACACAAATTGCAAAATGACAATTTAACCCCCTTTTCCCTCCCTCCCCCTCTCAAACTTCCACGATAGAAAGAAACACACAAAATTGAAATTCAAAATGATGTATTATTTTTGTAATTTTCAAATGACAATGATGGAATTTTTTTAAATTACAAAAATTACAAAAATTGCATTATTTTATATACAAATTTTGGATAAGTTACATTAACATTTTATGAAGTTTGAAAAAAATATAATAAACTCTGTATGTTTGGTTTGAGTTTTAGAGATGAGTTTTAGAAAAAAAAAATTTCCAAAAATTGTTTGGTTTGAGATTTTTCTCAAAAAATTTTCAAAATCACTTTCTCTCTCTTACACATCAATCAATCATTTTTTCTCTCTCCTCTCTCATTCTCAATCACTTTTTCTCTCACACACATCTACTCAATTACAACAAAATATCAAATCATTCCAAACTCCCAAACTCCAAAACTACTTTCAAAATATACAACTAAACAAATCAAAAAAATTTCTAAACTCTCTCCCCAAAATTTTTTTCAAAAATAACTCTCTCAAAAACAAGCCAAACAAGCCCTAAATTTGACATAATTATGTTAAGTATTTTTATTTTATATTTGAATCATAAATTTAAATAATAAATTTAAAAAACTAATGAGAGAAAATTTAATTTGTATATCATTTACAGAACAGTGCTATGTAGCTCGAAACCCCAAGACCCCCCTAATCCCCCGAAACCAAAACGACGCCGTTTCGGCGTTTTTGAATTATTATTTTTTTTTTTTGGTTCAATCAGAAAGAAGAAGCAGACGGGAAGAAGAAGAAGAAGGGAAGAAGCAGAAGCAGAGGCAGACGGTGGCGGCGGAGGCAGACGGCGGACCGACGATCGGCAGAGCTGCGACGATCGGACGCTCAGCCGGAATGCAGAAGCCATTTGTGTGTGAAATCTAATGCCCAAAACGACCGTTTTGGGCATTAAGGGATTAGGGGAGCAAATTTTCGAACTCTCAAATTTTATTCATCATTTACATCTCTCCTGCCTTTCTTTTTTACACCAAAATCCATAGTCTCGTTTTTGAAAAAAATCATTAGTTATATAAATAAAAAAAATTATTATCATACATTTTTATACTAATTTTTGTTTTTACATTATTTAGCTTTACATCTTTCATAAATTTCCCTTTAAACTTATTAAAGTATAAAATTGTGAAAATTACTCTTTTTTTATTATTTTTTGTTTATTTTTAAGTCAAGGGAACGGAGTACAATTTATTCAAAAAATTTATATGAAAATTTATTATTTTGTATAAAATTGGTTAATTGAAACACACGCACCCTCTCTTTCCCTCTCTCACTGAAACTTCCTTCAAGTTGTCATCTATTCTCACTTTAGCTCTCCTCTCCTACTAGCTCTCCTCTTTTCTCTGCTCATATCATTATCACCTGATATCACTAAAAAATTCTCTTGTGTGTAAATACTGCTGTTTTTTGCCTTTTGGTCCCCAAAATTCTGCAGAGGAGTTGGAGTTGGGTTTCAGATTCGTTTTATTACAAACAAATCCCTTTCACGGTTGCTAATCCAAAATCACACCACCCACCCACATAAATTCACTTCACTCATTTCCTGTGACATCCGACAATTCTGAAACATCGTCGTACCCAACCCTTCTGAACCCAGCAGTAATCTGTCATTTTGCTTAACAAAAGACTTCGATTTGGTACCTTCTCACTATCCATTGTTAGCTTTATCTGAGCTCTTCTTATTCTTCATAGTAACGTTATAATCTTTACATATATAACTAGTCAGATATGGGTTGTTCATGAATCAAAAAAAAAAAAAAGAAAAAGAAAGAAGATATGGGTTGTTCTATTCTTGGATTTCTTGGTTTACCGGTGAATTGAATTGTTGTTTTGTTCAATTACAGGTTTTGAAATGTAGATAGAGACAGTAGAAGCGAAAAAGATTCTTCTTCAACCCACCAAATATAAAAGCATTTGACGGATTGTTTTTTTATATGCAGTTGGTGGTGTATACCCATCAAAATTCAAGACATGAGAAGAGAATGGAAGGTGTCATCATCATCATCAAAATCATCGATGGAACACAAACTCATTTCCTCTCTCAACTTTCTGTTCAAGCTACTCATAACTTGTTATTGTATTTTGATTGTGAAATCAGACGCAAAAGAAAACGATGATTTGATAGCGTTATTGGCTTTTAAACATTCCTCAATCGATTCAGATCCAAATGGGTTCTTAACCGACTGGTCTCCTTCTTCAACCCCGTGCTATTGGCACGGCGTTTCATGCTCCGGCGGGCGGGTCGCCGCCGTGAATCTCAGCGGCGGTGGACTCACCGGCCGCCTCCGCCTCGACGAACTCATGGCGTTGCCGGGTCTCGCCTCCCTCTATCTCAGCCGCAACTCTTTCTCTGGCAACCTTTCCTCCGCCGGAGCTCCGCCGTATTGCCGCCTCGAAACCCTCGATTTATCTTCCAACAACTTCTCAGAACCTCTCTCTGTTGAGACTCTGTTTCAATCCTGTGACCGCCTTCGAGTTCTCAATCTCTCTCGCAACTCCGTCCCCGGAGGGACCCTCAAGTTCGGGCCTAGCCTCGCTCAGCTCGACCTCTCTCGCAATCGGATTTCCGATTCATCTCTCTTGTCTTACTCTCTCTCCAACTGTCAGACCCTCAATCTGTTAAATTTCTCAGACAACAAGCTCACTGGAAATTTGGGTAACAGTACTTTATGGTCTTGCAAGAGCCTCTGGACGCTAGACCTCTCTAACAACCTCTTCTCCGGCGAGATTCCGGTGACTTTCGTGACAGGTTTACCGGAGTCTCTCAGTGTATTTGATCTATCACACAATAACTTCACCGGCAACTTGTTTAGTCTTCAATTCGAGAGCTGCAACAATCTCAGCATACTCAATCTATCCTATAACAGGCTCTTCGGCACGAGTTTTCCGAATAGCTTGACGAATTGCCAGCTTCTTGAGAGTCTTGATGTCGGGTACAATGCGCTTCAATTCAAGATCCCGGGGGTGTTCTTTGGGAATTTCAAGCATTTGAGGCAGCTTTCTTTGGCTCGAAATGGGTTTTTTGGAGAGATTCCCCAAGAATTAGGGCAGATTTGTGGGACTCTTGAGGTGCTTGATATTTCTGGTAACAATCTTACTGGTGGGCTTCCTTCAACTTTTTCGCAATGTTCTTCGTTGTTCAGCCTCAACCTCGGGAAGAATCAGCTTTCGGGCAATTTTCTCAGCACGGTAATCAGTGCTCTCCCGAGTCTCAAGTATTTGTATGTTCCTTTCAACAATATATCTGGTCCTGTGCCACTGTCCTTGACGAATAATACTCAGCTTCAAGTGCTGGACCTCAGTTCTAATGCCTTCACAGGGAACATACCATCTGTATTTTGCTCATCTTCGTCGTCCACAGCCTTGGAAAAACTATTACTGTCCAACAATTATCTCACCGGGACGGTGCCATCTGAGCTTGGAAAGTGCAGGAACTTGAGGTCAATTGATCTTAGTTTCAACAATCTTGAAGGTGAAATTCCATTGGAGATTTGGACCCTGCCAAAACTTTCAGACATTGTTATGTGGGCTAACAACCTAACAGGGCAAATCCCAGAAGACATTTGCATCAATGGAGGAAATCTTCAGACCCTGATTCTCAACAACAATCTCATTAATGGAACCCTTCCCCTGTCCATTGCTAACTGTACAAACCTGATTTGGGTTTCACTCTCCAGCAACCATCTGAGCGGAGAAATTCCTTCAGGTATTGGGAATCTTGTTAATCTTGCAATCCTCCAATTGGGTAACAATTTACTAACTGGAGAGATCCCATTGGAAATAGGTGCTTGTCGGAGCCTAATCTGGCTTGATTTGAATAGCAATGCCCTGACCGGTCCCATACCACTTGATCTTGCTGACAATGCTGGCCTAGTTGTTCCTGGAGCTGTTTCTGGGAAACAGTTTGTGTTTGTGAGAAATGAGGGCGGGACATCTTGCAGAGGTGCTGGAGGACTAGTTGAATTTGAGGACATTCGCTCAGAAAGGCTGGAAAATTTTCCTATGGTACACTCTTGCCCATTGACTAGAATCTACTCTGGCAAGACGGTTTACACATTTGCAAGCAATGGCACCATGATCTACCTCGATCTCTCCTACAATTCCTTGTCAGGGACTATTCCGGATAACTTTGGGTCGTTGAACTATTTGCAGGTCTTGAATTTGGGACACAACAATATAACTGGAAACATCCCATTCAGCTTTGGAGGTTTGAAGGCTCTTGGAGTTCTCGATCTCTCTCATAATAATCTCCAGGGATTCATTCCAGGATCAATAGGGGGCTTGTCGTTTCTCAGTGATCTCGATGTGTCAAACAACAACCTCACAGGGCCTATCCCTTCAGGTGCTCAGCTAACTACTTTCCCAGCTTCAAGATATGAGAACAATTCTGGTTTATGTGGGCTTCCGTTGCCTCCTTGTGGCTCTGGAAATGGATCGCGCAATCCACCAGGCTTTCAACATCAAGGGAAAAAGCAGTCAGTGACTGTAGAGATGGTAATTGGCATTGTAACCTCTCTTTTCTGTATCTTCGTGCTTGGGCTGGCCCTTTACAGGATAAAGAAGCACCAGCAAAAGGAGGAGAAAAGAGACAAGTACATTGAAAGCCTTCCAACGTCTGGTAGCAGCAGCTGGAAACTATCCAGTGTTCCCGAGCCTCTGAGCATCAATGTTGCCACATTTGAGAAACCTCTGCGGAAGCTGACCTTTGCCCATTTGCTTGAAGCTACCAACGGTTTCAGTGCTGACAGCTTGATTGGTTCTGGAGGGTTTGGCGATGTCTACAAGGCCCAACTGAAAGATGGTTGTGTCGTTGCGATCAAGAAGCTTATTCATGTCACGGGTCAGGGAGACAGAGAGTTTATGGCTGAAATGGAAACTATAGGGAAGATCAAACACCGAAACCTAGTCCCCTTGCTGGGTTACTGTAAAATTGGTGAGGAAAGGCTTCTAGTGTATGAATACATGAAATGGGGAAGTTTGGAGTCTGTTCTTCATGAAAGGGCCAAAGGAGGGGGCTCAAAGCTCGACTGGGCAGCAAGAAAGAAGATTGCAATTGGGTCAGCGAGAGGACTAGCATTCCTTCACCACAGCTGCATCCCCCACATCATCCACCGCGACATGAAATCTAGCAATGTCCTTCTTGATGAAGACTTTGAAGCCAGGGTGTCTGATTTTGGTATGGCAAGATTGGTGAATGCGCTGGACACTCATCTCAGTGTGAGCACCCTTGCAGGGACTCCAGGTTATGTTCCCCCAGAGTACTATCAGAGTTTTAGGTGCACAACAAAGGGTGATGTCTACAGTTATGGTGTCATACTGCTTGAACTTCTCTCTGGAAAAAGACCAATCGATCCATCAGAGTTTGGTGACGACAACAATCTTGTGGGGTGGGCAAAACAGCTTCAGAAAGAGAAGAGAATTCAGGAGATATTGGACCCTGAGTTGATTTCAAATGAATACAGTGAAGCTGAACTGTACCAGTATCTGAGGATTGCTTTCGAGTGCCTAGATGACAGGCCTTTCCGGAGGCCAACCATGATTCAAGTGATGGCCATGTTTAAAGATCTTCAGACAGATTCAGAAAGCGATATCCTTGATGGTATGTCACTGAAAAATGCAGTAATTGAGGAACCACAAGAGAAAGATTCTACTTAGTTGACGACATTTGAGTCCAATTGGAGACGGGTTATCTTCACATTTTGCCTACTGTAAATAATAGAACACTGAAGGAGATAGAAGTTATGGAAAAGGGTAAAGTGAACAAACAAATGGGATCTTCTTGGTTGCTTCATCTTAATTATTTTCTTTGCTTATCTTGTCTATTCGTAAGGATTTGGAAATTTTGTTCCTTTTCCATTTGCTTCTGTTTCCTGTCACAGTTTTGCTAACTTTGTTTTCCAGTTTGTTTTTTTTACAGTCGTTGATTGCTATTGTTAGTAGAGAGCTAGGAATTCGAGAAAAACCAGTATAGCTCTGGTTATGTAAAGTTGCAGCCTTTTAGGCACTAACCTGTTTGATAATCGAAATTAGAAATGTATCCTGTTTGCAATTAGATTGTTTGCACTGTGATTGCAATGATCATTGAAAATAATTTTGAAAGCTTAGATGATTGATTCAACAATAATATGACCTTCAAAACATGTTTTACAATTATGTGCATGCCCAGTGTCATTCTTGCTTAGTGTACTTGGGGCCATTGCTTTGGGTTGCAAATTAACTTGAGCAAAATGAACAATCATACGAACTTGAGCAGGTGTTGTAAGACTTTATTTTCGCTCTCATCCCGGTCTGTTATGCAATGCTTAATAGTATGTGAATTGTGAAGAGAAAAATAGAAAGTTCATGTAATGTCATTCTAACACGAGTCTTGTTTTCTTGTCATTCACTTTCTCAGTAACCAAACATGGCATAATCGTAAATAGCAACTGTCAGGAGAAGAGCGTGGTATATTTCCTTCTTATGGCTGCAATTTTTTGTGTGGATGCTATCATCATACTGTGAATGAGATGAATTTCAATGATCTACTGGTTCGGAACATTTTTGTTGATGTTGTTTGAAGGCAAATGATTGAAAGTTCAATGGTGGTTCTTTTTGAATTAGACACAGGTGAGTAGAAATTTATTTGAAATCATCAAAGGTCATGCTATTATGATGCCATTAATGAGTTTTGCAAGGAAAGTTGAGTCTAACATAACATCATTAGTCCATGCTAATGTACTATGAATGGACAGTATTAAATATTGTTTTTTATCCATCATCCATTCCACAATGCAGGGCAGTCTAGACAAAATTTCAAAGTGGGCTTTTTATATTTAAATATTAATTAATTAATTTTTATATTTAGCATTCATTTTTTTTTTAGATATCTGTTTTAGTAATTAAGATGAGATTTATTGTACTTCTGCTTGGCCCATTCCAATATTCAGAGTTGTAATTCTGCTGATATCATCATGGTCTGATGTTTTTTGGGGGGGTCATTTTACTGCTTGCCTGATTGCTTTTTCTTTGCTATCCCATAATAATATTATAATAAAAATTGTAGGCTTTAGGGTTACATCTAAAATAAAAATAATAAAAAAATTGTAGGCTTTAACCATTTTAGTCAAATTCATATTAGCCGTGATAGATCATCATTGCATGTGTTATCATAATGTTCTTTATTATTGGTTTGAATTTTTTTGATTTTGCTTCACATTTTTATGTTTATAACATTTGGAAAATGTGTATTTATAATGCATGTATGTATGGTTGGCCGAGAGGAAATTTCTTTGCACTATTGGTACCACCGGATTTAGATCTTGAATTTATGATAAGAAAAGAAAAGGTGAAAAAATATTATTCTACAATTAATTTAATTTTTTTTTAATTTACAAATATAAGATCCAAACATATTTTAACTCTCAGATTCTTGTAGTTGAGAGGTCCTATCTATCTTGCAAAAATGGATATAGTTCTGATATTATCAGATCAGAGAAAAAACAGAGGTAGGTCCACTTATCATGTGTCTGTTTACCTGTTAAAAAAAAGGTTTGTTTCCAAGGTTGGATAACAACCATTGCTGCTGTTGTTGTTGTTTGCTCCATAATGGTTTCATGAGTATGCAGTGGGTCCTAATGCATCCAATAAATTACCCATGATCATGATAGCTTGCTTTGAAACTAAGGGGTGGCTAAATAGTTGTGCAATCAAGTGTAACTTTGTTCAATTATGATCCATTTGGTTTTGTATTCAAAATTTCCTTCATGTTGGTTGGTTGGTTACATATTATTATAGTTTCTGTATTTTGCTTTCCAACACAAATAAAATTTGTACACTTTATTTAAAAACATTTTTAAAATCGTAAGTAGTGTTTTGATATAAAATGAAAAGATCATAAAAACTCACGTCATTCAATATAAAGATTATGTTTGTATGGTATTATTATTTACATTTATTCAAAAGCAGATAAGTTTAGTTTGAAAATTACTATTCTTTTAAAATTTTCATACTAGTCATTCGTTAAAAATGATGTGTCAATAGTATTTTTAATATTAAAAAACATCCTAATGAGTTTTTTTTCCTTTTTTTTAATAAAATAAATAATAATAGAAAGACAACCCTGTCACATCATTATATATATATATATTTATATATAATTTTTGTTTTTATATTATTTATATAATTTTTGTACTAAGCACCACTTTATAAAAGTTGCACTTTTGTGCTCCACTGAGAAGAAAAGAAACACAAAGTTGGCAGTCTGTGTATCTTTATTTCCTCATATTATATTGGGCCTTCCTTTCTGGGCCCATTAATTTTCTTCAGCAAATAATCACCCTACCTTGATGGGCCGGACTTTATGAGGTTCTTCAACCAAAAACAGCAGTGATTCTATTTGTAGTACATCTAATTAAAATTTTAATTTCTATTTTGCTTTAATATAAATTTAGTAATAAGGATAGTACAAGCTAAACCCCAATATAATTTTTTTTTCTCATTGTACACCCTTTTCGTCTTCTTTCTCAAGTGTCAATTATTTTCTCTTTATCTTTTTTTTCACTCCAAAATTCTAATCTACCACACCAAAATTCACAATTATCATCAACATTATTGTTTTTTATTGAGTTATTATTTTCAAATATAATAAAGCTTAAACAAAATTAAACAATAGATAAAAATGATTATCAAAAGATTTTTTTTTTTTTTTCATGGGAGGCATGAGCCAAACTGCTTACACAACTGTTGTTCTATTAGCCAAAGAAAAATGCTTGGGAGCACTAATTAGTGCTCCCATTAATTAGGTGGCAGTGGGTCCCGCCATTAATGATGTGATGTTTTGGTCTTTGAGTTGTATTTTTTTTTTTTTAATACATTAGTACTATTAGTGGTGATATTTTTAATGGGATGAATCATTGTTGATTAGCCAAAACATAAGAAAGAAGAGGGGGTGGGACCCCCTTCATCCAAACACAAATTGTTCCTCCCCTTGGATGGACATGGGAGCAAGCAAGTGAGCTCTGCCTTATTTCCGTGCCATTCGTTTAGTATGTGACCAAGAAGGATTTTTCAAAATATTTTAATTTAGAGTTTTGATTTATTTATTATTTGAGTAAAATATAACCTTAAATAATTAATAGAGAGTATTGAGAAATTAAACGTACTAAATGATTTTTGGGTGTAAATACAATCTCCCAAAAATAGTCTACAAAAAATAAAATTATTTATTTATTTTATATAAATATTCACATCAAAATCCTATAAATTGAGAAGTACATTCGTTTGAAAAATTCAATTTTAAATTTTATATGTCAAAAAATTGTGATAATTTAACATGTTTATAAGGACATTGTTAAATGAAATGATTAAAATACTTGTCATATATATGTATGGGGTAACGATACAAACCAAACACAACGGACATACACACTTTTTTTATTGTTTTGAGAAGTTGATTTAAAATTAATTTTTAATTTTTTAAAAATAAATATATAAAAAAATAAAAAGATAATATAATCCAAAAGAAATTCAATCATATTCCTAAATTAGCCCTCTCTCGTCTTTGACAATGCCAATAGCATCGACACTGTTACTGTTACTGTTACTATTACTGCCACTGCCACTGTTACTACTATCGTGGCCGCCATTTCCTCCACCTCACCCTTGACAATGACTTCTTCTCAGCGCTTAGATCTGGTCGGAGTGACCAGATCTGGTAGAAGATCAACCACTCAAACCTTCTCAGATTTGCAACTGTTAGAAATGGTTTTGAAAGTTTTGGAAAAATCTGATTTTTCCATAACTTTGGTCAAATATTTAGCTGGGACTCATGCGTCGAATTTCGCGGGTCTAAGTGGTAACGCGTTCTATGCCGCGTTGTGATTCACGTGGTATATTTGGTTGCTCAAAACCATTATTAGGTGAATGAGAATTTAAAGGCAAAGAGAGCTCTATGGAAATGGTGTTTTTTGTGAAATTTCCTAAAGGTTTGGTTTAAGACTTGTCCCACATTGATTTGGTGGACAAGTTTTGAGTAGGTTTATAAGGCTTGGAATTATAACTTGGGAAGGGCCCCAAGAGGCACCCCAAGTTTGTAGAAGGGAAATGTTATAGGCAAATTAGGCTAGACTTATTGGACCTAAAAATAACCACACACGTGCTACAGCCGTTCGTCCGTTCGAGCTATCCTAGGCCTAGCTTGGGCGCGGGTGCGTAGTGTGTGGTTGGTTTGGGCTTGTCCGGTCCAATACCTATCTTTTTGGGCCAAAAACATTTGAATTTTATTTTTCTAAAATTAAATTCTAATTTTTTGAATTTGAATTTTGGAAATTAAATTCAAAATTGGGTCTAATTTTTTCCCACCCGGACATATTATCTGTTTAAATTTCAAAAACCCGGGTTGGAATTCTGTACAGGTTGATATCTGTTCGAATTCAAATTTGAACCCAAACAGTTCCAATTCAAACCCAACAGGTTAAATACCTGTTCAAACAGGTATGCTACCTGTTTAATTCAAACTAAAAGGGTACCACTACATCTATAAATAAGGCAAGTCTCTCATTTGTTTTTCACTCTGATTTTTCGTCCAAAATTCTGCTTTTGCTCTCTGCATATTTTGTTGCATTAACTACATTTATTTTCTGTGAGAAAGAGTGTATACACTTAGTGTATTCGTTGTGCAAGCAATTTGTAGTGCTGCTATTGTTTGCGGCTGATTTTATCCTGGGAGATAGACGTCCGAAAATCTGAAAGCACCGTGGAGAGGACGAATCTGTCTTAAGGACACAGTGTTAAACATTGGACTTGATCAAAAGTTTGTTCAAGAAATTAATCGAGTAAGTTGTTAATTTATTTTCTATTTTTTTATTATTTATTTAAATCAGATTTTGATTTTGATTTTGATTTTGTTTTTGTAACGAAATAAAAATCTGTTTTTATTATTATTATTTTTTTATTGGTTTGATTTTTGTAATCAAATAATCTCTCTCCTTTCTTATATCTCTTTTGTATCCTGTTTGTTGTTTAGTACATAAACAGAATTTATTTATTTAAATATAGTGAAGATTGTCCAACAGCTACCACTAAAACCAGATCCGCAGTCGCACTACCGTCGTG